TTGGGCTGAAACTTCACAGACACATTCTGGGGACACATGAGACTTAAATTACATCTTGTAGAAAGGGGCATAGGTCCCCTTTAAATTGGAGTTGCCATTACAGAGCACCTGCGACTGAACAAGTATGTGTGTTCCCTTTCGAACAGTCTCTCCCGTTGCATAGAACGCATATGGGGAAAACTCCTGTTCAGAGACTGCACTCACTGAAGGCTCATGCTCTCACTGCACGAGTATGAGTCTTTCCCGTCTCTGCTCACGGAATATCCTCCCCTGCCGCTTTCCCGTTTCTATTCGGCACATCTGAGGAGGATGTCATCATCGAGGACGTCATCGGCAATGACTCCATGTCCTTGGCAGCATTTGATGCAGAAGGGTGGGAAGGTTCCGGCGGGGAGCCCAAAGCCATTCCCCCTTCTCAACCTGTGGTTGACGTGGCACGCCCCCTACTCGGCCCGTGTTAATTCCTCGGCGCGAGTGAGTACTCTGATTGGATGTTCAGTTTAGCGAACGAGTCAGTGCCGAGAATTAAAGCGGAAGTGATGAAAACAAGCATGTAAATGAAGGCGGTACAGACAGAAGGCTGTTTTAAATGTTACGTGATCTTTCCAAATCATTCTAATACGCGAATGTTTTCATAACACACGAGCCGCTTAAAATGATTAAAGTTATCAACGTTACTGATATTCAAAATGGTAAGCAAGCGCCGCTTTGTTTACATTTCGTATATCTGCGTTTATCTTGTATATCTTTGTTTCGGTTTCTCCTTTTGAATGATGAATATCTACTACTGATAGCTGCTGATATGAACAGCTCGTTCCTCTCACGCATGCGCAGAATGCACGTGTTAGTTTGCCGTCGGCTGTAGTCTGTGCGGTGTGTTCGAGCGCAGCTTTTTGGTCAGATGCTGCCGACGCGAGGCGACAACACCGTCGGCTTTCGTCGCCGCTAGTTCTTTGAAGTCGGCTTGGTGTGTCCCGGCCTTTAAGTGCTCTCGACTCCGTTCAGAGCCCAGGTAATCACCCTGCTGGCGCTACCCGTTGCAGATGGTGAGCAGGGTCAGAATCTGTTCTGTCCAGAGAGGGCACTGAGAGTATATCTAGAGTGCTCTAGCCTGTTTAGACAGTCAGAGCAGTTCTTTGTTTGCTTTGGAGGCCGCCATAAGGGACTGCCGGCCACAAAGCAATGACTTTCTCGCTTGATTGTAGATGCAATAGCCTTGTCTTATGCCTCAGAAGGCTTACAATGCCTTATAGGTGTGAGGGCCCATTCCACAAGGGGGGTGGCCTCCTCCTGGGCATGGTCCAGCGGAATTTCTATTAGTGAGATTTGTGCGGCCGCCGACTGGTCGTCGCCATCCACGTTTGCCAGATTTTACAACCTGCAGGCATGTGTTCTTTCTGTTTAAATTGCCATTCTTCCCCCCCTGGGTTAAGCTGGTTATGAGAAGGCGGGACTTGATTTCATCCTTCGGGAATTGATTGGATCGTTGGAAGTTGGGGCATTGTTAACAAAATGGAGGCAGATCTGAATGCCAGTTTGCAGTTAGTGGTGGGGGATTTCTCTCCACTGGATTCACAGCCGACACCCAAGCATGAATAAATGTTTTATTTATTAAGGATGACAACGACGATCAACGGCATAAAACATGCCTAAACAGTGCGCGCGAGAGAGAGAGAGAGAGAGAGACTGCCTGAATGACTGAGCACGTCCTCCATCAGGTTAAGTCATATTCATGAAAAAAATTAGTTTGCAATGTCCTAAGAGTAATGATGTTGTAATATCCTAATATCTTTTCAATGTTTAGGGGTAACGTACTACCCCATGACTGGTGTCAGTGCTATAAAGTGAAGCATCAGCTTCAGCTTTTCCCCCTGTCGTTTATCCCAGCATTTACCCCTCACGTCACTAGCTCCGCCCTTGCACCATAGCTCGTGATTTAGGGGTAACGTACTCCCTCATGACTGGTGTCAGTGCTATAAAGTGAAGCATCAGCTTCAGCTTTTCCCCCTGTCGTTTATCCCAGCATTTACCCCTCACGTCACTAGCTCCGCCCTTGCACCATAGCTCGTGACCGAAAGAGAAGATGAGTCATTTTGAGGGGGAGGGGAGGTTAACGTATTTGTAAAATAATGAAGTGCACGGATAAATTATTATTAAAAAATAAGAATTTTCAATTTTGATTTCATGGTGACTTTAAGGGTGGGTTTTAGAGTAGTGCTGGTGTGAAAGAGACAACGCAGCTTGGTTTTGGGCTTGTGGCTTGAGGTGCGAGGCTAGCTGCACCAGGCTAGTTGCACCAGGCTAGTTGTTAATCTTGGTTCGCATTGGAAAAGCGGCTTATAAGTCAGGCCCTGTCAGGCTCAGGCTGAAATGCATGGCTCTAGAGGGGATAGATTTTTGGCCAGGTTGGATTCGTTCATTTGGTTTGGCCAACTCCATTTATTATTAGTAGTAGTAGTAGTAGTAGTAGTATTACTTAACTTTCCCCTATCTCCATGCCATTCTTGATGCAGAAATTGGTGATTTAACTCCTGTGAACAAGAATAGTATTGTTTGTTTGATGCCTGACTCTGAATGCAAACAGACTAAGGAATTCACCAAAAGCTCTTGCATGAAAGCACCCTCAGCAGCACATTCAAATATATTTTTTCAATAGCTTGATGCCAGCATTTCTTGATTAAAATTGACTTCATCCAGCTGCAACAGTTCTTGTGTTAAAAATAATCAGTTAAGCAGTTCATGAGTAAATGGTACACTAACATTTTTAGAAACAAAACAAATAGTGTATTAGCAGAAATTATGTTGGTCAAGCTACTATTTACTATTTTAAATTACTGATTAATTTAGTTTACAATTGTTCTATGCTTCTGTCCCTGCCCCTATACAGAGTTCTGTTCATGCCTCTAGCATAACCATAAGAACAAGCAAAGTCAAGGTCAAAAGGTATAATGAGTCTTAGGCGAAAATACAAACAAACAAACAAACAATAAATAAATAAATTCCCCAAGTGCTCAGAATTGTTTGTGGTAATGAAAGCATTGCGGAAAATAACAATGCAGTAGTCCTATGAATCTGAACCATTCAAATCAGGATTTTTTTCTTTTTTTAAATCTGCATATGGCATTAATAATCAGCAAGTTAAGACATTTAGATTACATTTACATTTAATCATCTAGCAGATGCTTTTATCCAGAGGAACTTGCAAATGAGGAAAATAGAAATGATGCAATCAAACCAGCGTAAGATAATTTTTGTGATAATTATAATTGGGAAAATTATTTGTAGATGGCAAGGAAAGACAACTTAAACTTTTAACTTACTAATTAACTTTTATTTCTGCTAATGATTAGGGTGTTTGATAATGTACATTGTTTAGTAGATACTTATCTTAAACAAAATATAAAAATAGTCCAGACTTCAACCCCCATACACCCCATACTCTTTTCTCTCTCACATGACCTTCTGCATTATATATGTATCTAAGTGTGAAAAATCTAATTGGGCTCAACTGATGAAATATCTAATTTGGCTCAACTGACAAAATGTTATTCATTTTATTTTATTTTAATTAAAAATATATTTGCAAAGTCAAAGATATACTGTAACAAACAGAGGCATTTTTTAAATTAATTTTTTATAAAATACCCACATTTCCACATTTCACACTCAAGTACTTAAGTGTTTATTATATGCACAGTAAAAATAAAGCCACATGTATCAAAATTTTTACCTTTTTTTTTATTTTTTACATTGTTGTGTTCTGTGCCTTTGCTGTGTAGATAAAGGCAAATATATCCTTCAACTGAAAATTAATTAATTGATTACAGTGATCTGGAAATACAACAACAACAACAACAACAATAATAATAATAGTAGTAGTAGTATCACAACAGTGTATATAAGTTAATATAAAAAGCTAATTGTCATAACCAGGCAACTTGTCTTTATTCAGTTGAAAAAAAAAAGTGGATCACTACTGTATTTTTGACTGTAGTGTGTTATTCCAAATGTTTAAAACTTTTTTTTTTCTTTTTGTTATGTTTTCATCATATGCTTTTTGTCATTTTTCTCAGGTTTCAGAAGTACAATATAACATTTAGGAGCAAATATACATAGCAAGAGACCAAAGGCAGATGCTAGAATAGCAAAGACATGGACAGCAACCATATACTTTCCACGAGAGCTTACATAAACTGGAATGAAGGTTATCCACACAGCAAAAAATATAAGCATGCTGAATGTGATGAATTTTGCCTCATTAAAGTTGTCTGGCAATTTTCTTGCCAAAAATGCCATTAAGAAACACAAACAAGCTAGGAGTCCAATATAACCTAAGACACACCAAAATCCAACTTCAGATCCTACAGCACATTCAACAATTATAGCTGCACTCATAAACTTGGTGTTATATGATGCAAAAGGAGGCTTTGTTGTTATCCATATGGTACAAATAAGTGCTTGCACAAAAGTGCACAAGATTACGCTTGATCTTTGTTTAGCAGGGTCAAACCACTTCATGACATTACTGCCAGGGAGGGTGGCTCTGAAAGCCATTAAAACTACTACAGTTTTTGCCAAGATGCATGAAATACAGAGAGTAAAGCTTATTCCAAAGGCTGGATACCGAATCTGACATAACCAGTCAGTCGGCTTCCCTATAAATGTTAGGCCAATAAGAAAGCATGCACAGAGGAAAAGGAGGAGAAGGAAACTTAACTCTACATTGTTTCCTCGTATGACTGGAGTCTTTCTATACATTATAAACACAACAATCACTGCTAATGCTGCACAGGCCCCAAATGCTGAAAATGCCCATAGAATTATTCCCAAGGGCTCCTGAAAGGACAAAAACTCTAAAGTTTTGGGAATGCACTGGTCTTGGGCTTGGTTTGGCCATGTTTCTTTAGAACATGTTAGGCAATCATTTGAATCTGTGGAAAAATTGGTGAAAATGGGGTGCATAAAATATATTTATATTTTGATTATTGCAACCCCCCCACCTACCTAAAAAACAAAAAGTGAGGAGCTTTGAGAAAATTCACACCTGTCTGATTACTGATCTCTCCTTCAGCACATGGTATACAGTCAAAGCAGCAGACTGGCTTTCCTTTCTGCCTGGCCTTCCTGGAGCCTGGCAGACAGCTTTTACTGCACAGTGATTCTGGTGCCTAATGACCACAGCAGAGCAAGCAGTAGAAAAACACTACATAGTCTCAATGAGAGTGCATGTCACTACATATTTTCATTGCATAAAGACATATGCGACTTAAAAATCTAAAATGTTTAGTATAAAATAAAAGCAATAGTGCATTGCCATTTCAAGTTAAAAAACTGGATTTTATTTAGTTCTGCCATAACTACTGGGGAGAGTTGAAGGAAAAACAGACAAAGCAAGCAATATCGGGTGATGAATGGGATGGCACACACCTTCTCTCCTCTGTGCCACATAATTGCTGGCTCATCTATTTCTAGGTCCATGTCATCTTCGAGGGAGGCATCATAGAATCCCACCCTCACTAGTTGAAGGGAGCCATCCGACTCTCTTTGCCAGTTCATCAGGTCATAGGATGCAATGGGATCACCATTATCATCAAATCTGACCTCTTCCCCTAGTGTTGTGAAATGTGTTCTTTTCATATAGTACAGGAGCTTAGGTGAATGTTGGTAGATAGGATGATGCAAAGCAAATCATTAAAATGCATGGTTGGCAATATATTGATGTATAGATGATACATTTAACCATTGTTTTAACATGTGTAGTGTTTGATAATTTCTTATTAGCACAATATAGGCAGAGAATGTAAAATGGTGAGTAACACACACCTGCCATGGCAGAACTTGAGATAGACTCCCACATGCCCCATTCTGAAAGGGGCCTTTTCCTGGTTCACATTTGCTCATGTCATGTAGTGCATGTGCTATGAGATACACAGCCTTATAAACATTGTATGAGACTCTGAGTTGTGACACATCTGAATAAGGAGTGTATACATCGTCCAAACTCTCACTGCCATTGCAGGGTGGCCAGTTATGTGCCTCTTCTCCATGTACATGAGTATTTAAGGACCCATTCAGTCGGCAACGGAAAGTCTCTTCCCAAAACTCAGAGAGAAAATGTGACTTCTGAGCAACAGAAGCATTTACTCTTCTGAGGTAACTACCAAAATGTGGGATATCAGCTCTCCGAATGGCAAACCCTAATGTTCCCTTTAACAGATCACCAAAATCGCCCCAGAGGGCTTTTGATGTGGCCCAAGCCTCACTGGCAATCCACTGAAGATGAGTAACATTTTGCCGTCTGCACTCTTTTAGTATACTTTGTAGTTCTGATTCCCCAGAGAAGTTTACTATGACTGTGGCAGAAGACGATTTTAAAATGTTCACAAGTTCCTCCACTGCATCTTGCATCAGTACAACAGGATAGAAGTGAACATAAGCAGGACAAATATCAAATCTTTCGGACTCCTTTAAGAAAAGCTGGAGAGCAAAGCGAGCATAATCTGATTCGACACCGATTACCCCAACCCATGTCCATTGAAAATAATGAACAAGTTTTACCAAAGCTTTAATCTGAAATAGATCACTTGGCATTGTCCGCATGAATGCTGGACACTCTCTCTTGTCACTGAGACATGAACAGGATGCAAAGTAGCTCACCTAAAATATGAAAACACAACATTTCAGAAAGATTAAAAAGTAACTAATAAGTAAACTAATAAAGTAAAACCAAATAAATGCTAACAATGTTAATTGACAATTTGTGTATGCATACACTTTCATTACCAAGGCAAAGGAAATGCAACTGCAAGAGATTAAATCAAAATAATTTTAAATATTTTCTTTTACCAGGGGTATTTTAAAGGATACTAGAGTTCTCAGAACAGCCATGGAGACTCCTGATGCAGCATCTCCCACGATTACAGGGCTCGGCTGCTTTTGAATATCTTTACAGCTTTGTCCACTGCCCTTCTCTGGCTGTCCATTGACCAGAAGAAGAGACCTCTTCACAGATACAGGTATGTCATCACCGCTGTCCCTGATGTGGTAGCCCAAGGATAGGTTTGGCAAAAGGTCTTGCCGCTGGTTTATTTCTCTCACAGCAAAGATCATCGTCTGCATCCACCTCAGGGCTCTAGGAGTGAAGCTGCATCAGATTTCACACACACACACACACACACACACACACAAACACACATTTAATGCACACTTATTAACTGCATTATTTGCAATGTAAAAAAAAAAAATAATAATAATTTCTAAACATTACAAAACATCGATCAGATTACGAAAGCATGACACACAATTTATACTTGGTTGGCTCAGGTTTGGTCTTGAAAGAAGGAAAAGATGATATGGGGCTGGAATGCAAAGGAAAAACCGCTCCCAAAACGACATCTCCCCCCTTGTAAAAGCTGTAGGTATCTTCATCTCCCTGAAAGACACACTTAGTCTTGCTTTTATACTGACTCTGCAAACCAATACACAGCAGAGGCCAAAATGTAAAATGTAAAAGCAAAACTGCATTAAGCTGTGCCATAACTGATAACTGACAGAATCTAATGGGTACAGCATTTGTAGATAATCTGTGATTGAGGGATGGCCTTAACTTTTTTTCACCTGTAAAAAAAAATCATATGCCCCTCCTGCTGTCAATCTTTTATGTAGCAAGCCTTTGTGAATGCAATTATTTCTTTGAGCCAATGATAATGCACACCTGATACACATTCATCCATGAGACAACGTCAATCAATCAATCAGTCAATCAGTCAATAAAAAAATGGTCACATTATAACTTATTTTCTGTGTCAGTTAATTTCACAGTAGCTATTCTGGTGCACATTTTACTGTGGGCTGTAAAAACTGTATGCGGAAAACATTTTGTTGGGATTATACCTGTAGCATTGACAGTGTTGTCTACTCATTTTACAGTTGTATATTTACATGCTGTAATTATAGACCATCAATTGTAAAATAGTGATGATGCAAACATTCCCTAAGCCTATCTCAGATATACTGAATGAATGAATGAATGAATGAATGAATG